CCCTCTCCTGTTTCAGCCACAGCAGTTCCACAGATTGGAGTTCTTCACATAATTATTTGGAAATAATTTAAATTTAAAAAAAAATCAAAAACCACCGATGTCTTTAAATGAATCATAAATTTTAATACAAATATCAAATGTGACTAGATGTATTAGTCTATTATACTTAATGTGGTCCAATAGACTTAACCCCCAGTGACAAGAGCTGCTGGTCCAGCAGAGTGTCTTTGATGACACAGGAGGCTCCCCAGTCCCTGTCAGTGTCACTGCCACAGCAGAAATCATTTGTGTCGTGGGCACTTCCTCAGCGTTTGGGTCCCAGGTAACAAAGGTCTCCTCTGATTGTAAGTGGAGGGGCCGTACTTCCCGCCCCGAGGGGACCCCGTGTCCAGGCCTCTTTAACGGAGCCCGGCACCTCCTCCTGGGCTTCTGGCCTCTGCTGCAGCTTGTTCTCACCAGCGCACGACATTCCACCCCTGGCCACCGTCCAGGGCGCACAGAGGCCGAGCAGGAGCCAGGCCAGGGAAAACAGCCCGGCGTCCAAGAAGGTCCATGTCCCCGCTGGCCGGGGCAGGGCGGGCGGGCAGAGGGAGGAAGGGAGGACTTGCCCCTCCAAGTCCTTCCTCTCCAGCTCCTCCGGGTTCATCATGGCAATCCTTCAGCCTCCCCGACCCCTTCTCTTTCTGGAAGCCCGGGGACGCAGGCCTGACCGTGAGCCCCTTCCTCCTGATGAGGTCCCCGAGGCTCCAAGGTGTGTGTGTGTGTGTGTGTGTGTGTGTGTGTGTGTGTGTATACAAGCTCAAAAAAGGAAAAAAGAGAAGGCACCCAGGCCTTGCCTTGCTGGAGGGTCTGGTCCAGGAAGCCACTTGGCACTGACTCCTCCCTGTAGCTAATTCTGTGGCCTCTGGGCAGGCTCTGGAAGACCAGCTGCTCAAGGATGAGCTGTATCTGGGCAGCAGTGTCGTGGGGCCACCCCACCCGTGTGGCAGGAGCGGCTGCAGAAGCTCATGGAGGAGGGAAGTTTCCCACAAGCCCACAACAGCCCATGGCTGAGCCGGGCCAAGAACGCGAGGTCCAGTGTGTTTTCTGCCGTCACACGTTGAGCTCAGCGCCATGGGACCCCTCTCCGATCGGGAGGCCGGGCTGACTCAGGGGCAGTTGGGCGGTGGAGCCGGGCGGGGTTCTGTCCAGATGTGAGAGATTAGAGCTGTGCGCCGTGGAGAGCAGCTCAGGCCAGCCTTCTCCCCGGATGGGTTTGGAGCCAAGCGAGATCTCATCACAGACACGTACAGAGCAGTGGGTCTCAGGCCAATGGGAGGAGCGTGTCCGGGCGTTCGGGACGTACCGAGCTGGCAGAGCCCCACTTGCCCCCAGGGTCACGCTGCTTCCTCCGCCTGAGCTGGGGGAGAGGAGGAGAGGGCCTGGGAGAGGGCAGGCGAGGCTCAGAGGGGAAATTTGGCCAAAGGGCCCAGGGCACACTGCACAGGGCGGGTGGATCAGCCACCTCTTTCCTGACAGCCCTCCCCACGGGAGGATCAGCGCCTCCTGCCCCTCCAAGTCCTTCCTCTCCAGGCTGAGCAGCCCCGCTCCTCCCGCTGAGATAAATGAATCCAAATGTGGGTCCCTGCAACCTGGCGCTCCCAGGTTTCCTAGGGCACGGGGCCCAGACGGAGCACAGCCCTTCAGGCGGGGTCTCGGACCACCCCTCTGTCATCCTGAACATTTCCCACCGGCGCATGCTGCCCTCTGTGGCTTCTGTGTTTTTGCTAAACCCTATCAGACAACTGGCTTTTCTTATGGAAAATTTCAAACCACACACACACACACACACACACACACACACACACGCACACGCAGAAGAGTGCAGTGAACTCCCAGGTCCCCATCACCCAATTTCAACAATTACTAATCTTGTTTGCTCTGTGTTCCCACCCATGCCTCCTCCACGCCCAGGCCTGGGTTATTTTGAAATAAATCCAAGACATCCTAGCATTTCATCTGTAAATATTTTAGTGTAGATCTCAGAAAGCGTCCCTTTAAAACAGTAACCAGAGCTCCATTCTAACACACACACCCCCAAGGCAACAAGCAGCCCATTGTCTCAGGGGGAGGCTTCTGTGGGTTCTGCGGAGGGGAATGGTGGAGTGGGGGATGTAAGACACACATTGTTCGCCACAAGAGATGCCCAGAGTGGAAGGAAGTTTTGTCCCTGCTGGTGGTCCCGGCCCTGAGGGGAAGAGCTGGGGTCCAGAGGGAGATGGAAACAGAGGATCTCAGGGGGACGCCTCGGTGGAGCTCCCAAAGGCCAGCCTGCTGAGGGGGTCGGAGAAGGCCAGTGCTTGGGGTCCAGGCATTTGCTGGCAAGACACTCAACCTCTCCCGGTGGCATTCATCACCAGCAAAAGGACATAGCAGCTCCATTCTTAACTCAAACCTGCCGACTTCTGGGCAATTAAATGTCCCCTTGGACAACCCGGCCCACATGAGGCCTGGCAGTCCCAGGAGTTTTGCAGGGACACAGACCCATGGGGTAACTGTACCCCCTCTGCTCCAGAGTCCCGCCCATGGCCACACCTGCATGCTGTCCCTCCGCCCATACCGCCTGCTCCTTCTCTCCCATCAAGGCCTCCAGGCCCTCAGCCCCTCCACCTCCCAATGGCTCTGCTTGTTGTCCTCTTTTCTTCCCAACCCAAGCCAGACCCCAGAGCTCATCACCTCCACCCCTCGCTGGTCCATCCCTCACTTCCTCTGCTCTCTTCTCTTTCCTCTGCTCTCTTCTCTTTCCTCTGCTCTCTTCTCTTTCCTCTGCTCTTTTCTCTTTGTTCTCTGGCTGCACACATCCTGCAGACTCCCAGGGTCTGCTCCATCCAGCCACCGACTCTGCTGCTCTGTACCAGCCTGTGGGCCGCGGGGGCAGGGCAGGTGCTTCCAGAGCTGCTCCCGATGTCAGGCCATCCTGCAGTCCTCCTGCGCGGCCTCTGGTTTTCCTCGCCCCCTCCGGGACCCCCTCTTCACACAAGCCCTCCACCCAGGGGCACACTGTCAGTGCTCTCACGGAGCTTCTGTTTTAGTGGCTGTTTAACAGCGCACTCACAGAATTCCTGGACACTCACAGCTCTCTCCCCCTTCCTTAACCCCACCCGAGTGGTCAGCAAACAATTCTCCTCTTATTATACTTTACAAAGCGAGCAGAGGCCATCAGGTGGGAACCTGTTCAACTTCCTTGCACCCATCTTTGCTGTGCGCTGTTTCTCTTCCCTCAAGGGTTGTCCCTACCTGTCATTCCCTCCTCCCTCCTCCCTCCTCCCTCCCCTCCCCAAACCACCACCACCCCTTTCTGGATTGCAAGACCTCTCTCAAATGCTTTCCTCCAGCTCTCCTTTCTTGTTCTTCAGGCCCTAAGCATGGCGTGTTTCTCTAGTGTAAGAAAGCGGAAGGGACAGCAATCAGCTTTCTCCAGACCTTGTGATCTGTTCTCCTTCCCGCAGTCACAATTCCCGAAAACACTTCCAGGGACCTCGGTTCCCCCTCTGACCTCTCCTTCCCTTTTCATCCCACCGCAGCCTAAACCCTGCCCGGCCCTCCACCAGCCCCTGGAAGAGCTGGGGTGGGATTTGGCAGTGACGCTCCTGTGGCTGTTTCTCCCTGTTCCTGCTTGGCCTCTGGCTCCTTTGGGCCTCGGTGGCCACTTCCTCCTCCCGAAGGCTCTTTGCTTCTCGTAGTTTCTGGAACAGTATCCTCCCTCCTGAGTGCCGGGTTCTTCCAGGGTCCAGCCAATTCCGATGGGCCCCAGGCATCTCGGAGCCACCAGACCGGGGTCCGAGACTTCCATAGGAGGGGTGGCGGTGCCAAGAGGAGCCAAAAAGGAATCCACGTTGGGGAGAAAAATGATGAATCGGGTTGAGCAGGTTGAACCTCAAATCTTCCACTTACCAGCGGCGTGACATTGGACACCTCATGTCACCCGTCTGTGCATACATTTCCTGTGTGTATGTTAAGGATGATGATAGGTGGTTGTGGAACTGACTGAGTTAGTACATGTGTTTAGCACTGTGTGTGCGTGTAAACACTCATGGATGCCAGCTGTTACTAGCTGCTCACAGATGTCAGTGCTACTACTCAAACATCTCCACTCATTTTCTTTAAAAAAATCTATATATCTATATGTCTATATGTCTATCTATCTATCTATCATCTATCTATATATCTATATATCTATCTATATATATATATATATATATATATATTGATTTCAGAAATGAAGGGAGAGAGAGAGAGAGATAGAAGCATCAATAATGAGAGATAACAATTGATTGACTGCCTCCTACACATCCCACACTGGGGATCGAGCCTGCTCCCCGGGCATGTGCCATGACCGAAATTGACCGTGACCTCCTGGTTCATAGATCGATGCTCAACCACTGAGCCACGCTGGCCGGGCTCTCTACTCATTTTCTTCCTTTCAGTCCCTACTACTACTGCCCCCTTGCCTCACTTCTCACCCTGGTTATTGCAAAGACAAATGCCTCCAATCCAGTGTCTGTATTTTAAACATTCATCTATGGTGATGTGACCCTTCTGTTAACCCCCAAACGAGCACCGTGACTGGTTGTTAGGGCCCCTGGCTTGGCGTCTGTGACCCACCTCTCCAGTCCCATCTCCCAGCCGCCCTATACTTCACAGCCACTCTACCTGCCAGGGCTTGTGCGCTGAGCCGTGCTGTGCACGCCTCCCTGTCTGCACACGCCGCTCTCCCTGGCGGACACCTTCCTTGTTCGGGCAGCGCCTCCTTGAGGAAGCCCGCCTGGCCTGTCGGTGAGCCCAGAGATGAGTGAGTGATGAGGGCAGCCCCTCTCTTGCCCTGATCCCCCCTGAGGCTGCCTTCGCTTCTCTCTGTGTGTGAGTGTGCTCAGGGCCCGCCCCACTGAACCCGGCGCTTCGCAGGAGTCTCAGGCGTTACAGGGGAACAGGCCACAGTGACAGGACTTGTCTTCCCACAGCCGCCGACCCCTCCATCCCCTCCAGAGGAGACGCAGCTCGGAGCACGGGGTGTGACACACACGTGGCTGTCCTCAGCCGCTTGGATGTCCTAGAGGAGGTAATAAGGGTGACCGGGGAGGACATGCACCTTCGGAACCACCTGTGAGGCTGTTGGCTTTATAGGGCTCAGCCAAGCTTGCTTTGGAAAATTAGGGAAATCCAGGCCAGTCCTGCTCCCTGCCCTCCCTGGCTGTCGGACTGACCAGCTGCAGGGGACCCTGCTGCCCCTGGGACCCAACCAGAAATCTCTGCAGAATCACCAGGTGAAAAGGTAGAGATTTGATCACTGTGTTTTGTTATACAGCCAGTTTGTAATCTGTGGTCCATAAATTTATGTGGAACAAAATTATACTTTATTTTTAAAAAACCTTAGCATTCACATTTATTATAAACTAGAGGTCTGGTGCACAAAATTCATGCTCTTGGGGGAAGGTCTCTCAGCCTGGTCTGCACCCTCTCACAGTCCCTGGAGCCCTCAGTGGATGTCCAACTGCCGGCTTAAGTGGGGAGTGGGCCTAAGCCAGCAGTCGGACATCCTTAGCACTGCTGCAGAGGCAGGAGAGGCTCCCACCACCGCCGCTGTGCTTGCCAGCCATTAGCCCAGTTTCTGGCTGAGCGGCACTCCCCCTGGGGAGCACACTGACCACCAGGGGGCAGCTCCTGCATTGAGCATCTGCCTCTTGGTGATCAGTGCACATCATAGCAACCAGTCCTTCTGCCGTTGGGCCAAAACTGGCTCTCCAATATCTCGGAAGGTCCTGGATTTCGAGAAGGTGCAGGCCATGCCAAGGGATTCCACTGGTGCACAATCAGGGCTGGGGAACAGAGAGATGTGGGAGGTTGGCCAGCCAGGGAGGGACTGTGGGAGGGCTCCAGGGAGTGTCAGGCCTGTCTTGCTCAGTCCTGATCGGCTGGACCCCAGCAGCAAGCTAACCTACAGATATGAGCGTCTGCCCCCTGGTGGTCAGTGTATGTCATAGTGAGCGGTTGAACAGCCTTATCATGTTTTGATTGGTTGAACTGCTGACTGGACACTTAGCACATTAGGCTTTTATTATATAGGATATAACAAACCATAGTAGTATTATAAGTATCAATAGTACTGTGATTTTTGTCATCAATAGAAATCAGGTAATTTCATCCCCTTACAATTATTTTGAACATCTCAACATATCAGTCAGTTTAATCCCTATGTCAAAATTGCAGTAGTTGTTAGACATTATGGTGGATCATGTTGTTTAGTGAGTTAATAAAAACAAATTTTATATAAAAAATTTAATCCTGAATACTGAATAATATGTTAATGAAATTAGTGTCCTTGGAATTACTATATGTTTTATTATTTTTTTCAATTAGATCATTTGTCTAAGTTGGAGTCTGTACGTTTCACCAGACTATTAATGGGATTCATTCATGAAAAAAGTTAACAGTGAATAAAGAAAATTTCAAAATCCCAAACTTGTCATTTGGCAGAGTTGCCACCAGGGGGCGAGGCAGCAAAAGGAATGTGAGCTCCCGTGATGAAGTCCTTGAAAGAGACTGGAATCCTGGTCACTCAGATCCTATGACAGAGAAAAACCCATGCCAGCAGCTCCAGAGAGGGGGCCCTAAGATTTTGTCATCTAGGGAACCCGGAGGTGGGCAGGGCAGGGACTGAACAAGAAGGGCCCAGGTCCCCTGGCAGCCAGTTCTCTCCCCGCTGCACACCAGGTGCTCCTGACTAAGCAGGACTGGGCACCACTCGTGTCCTCTGCCCCTCCCCACCCTGTTCCCATGTCTCTTGCCCCAGACGGTGGAGAAGACGGTGGAACACCTGGAGGCCGAAGTGAAAAGCCTGCTGAGCCAACTGGAGGGGCTGGCCTGGACCCTGCCCCCGGGGCCCTTCAGCCCGGTGCCCGACCTCCTGGGAGATGGTGAGCGCCTCAGGTGGCAGAGGTGACAGCCCTGAGCTGGGCAGGCAGGGTGGGATTGGGTGCTCTGGTGCCGCCTGCACAGGCCAGACCTCCAGCTCCTCCTCCGGACAGAAGGGGGCAGGCATTTCCCCCAGCTCACGCCGAGTGTTCTCGGCCCCCACCGGGGTGGGTGCAGGCCAGTGTCCCATCAGGGTCCATGGGACACACTCCCCCCCTTCTCTCATCTCCCTTCCAGGGACCACTTCTGTGCCACCAGGAACCCTTTCCAGAAAGACCGGCGTCCCTCCGACCAGGCAGTGGAGGGGTTGCACCTGCTCCCTCCTTGAGCCCTGTGTTCCCCGGCACAGTTCCTGGGACTGGGGGCGGGGCAGGGTGCCTTCAGCACCCCTCACTCTGAGGCACCCTTTCTTTCAGATCATCAGTGAAGCAGGAGGTGGAGAAGCCCAGCAGCTGGAAGTAATACCCCTGCCCGACAGCTCTCCTCTGAGCCTTGCCTCTGGCCTTCCGTCCTCAGCTTTGTGCGAATAAAAGCTACTCCTCTGACCCCGCTGACAGAGTGGATCCTACAGCGGCAGCCCTTCTCCACCTACCCCCATGCCCGGAGGCCCACATCCCCCTGGAGGAGTGGGCCTGGGCATCCCCAGCCCGGCTGGGCTTCGGCCCTCCTTCTGTACAAGGCAGGATTGTTCACTGAGGTGAGGCACCTGACGCTGAGAATCCTAAGATGACTCTGCGGAAGGGCCCTTGTGGGAGCCTGGCTACTCACAGAATGGGCACCTCTGGTAGTTTGTCAAAAATGCAGAATTTGGGGCCCCAATCCAACCTCCTGAATCAGAATTTACATTTTAATGAGACCCGCCAGGGGATTCCTGTGCCCTTTAAGGTTTTAAAAGAGACTTCTATGGAGGTAAAGTTCACCTAACACAACCTTCAGAGTTGTAACCACGTTAAGCTGTACAAGTTCAGGGCCTTCGAAAGGCTGTGCCGTCGCCACCTCTCTGATTCCAGGGCATGTCCAGTAGCCCGGAAGGAAGCCCTGTCCCCATGAAGCATCGCTTCCTGTTCCCCTCCCACCGTCCCTTGGACACCACTGACATTTCTGTCTCTATGGACTTGCCTGTTCTGGACATTTTAAATAAATAGTCTCATACAACACGTGATCTTTTGTGCCTTTTTTGTTATTGTTGTTGTTGTTTTGTTTTTGTTTTACTTAGCCTGTTTTCAAGGTCCATCCGTGTTGTAACGTGTCAGTCCTTCGCTCTCTTTTGTGTGGATACAGGCTTTCATTCCTGTCGGGTCTATAACTCGGGATGGAATTGCTAATTCAAACAGTAACGCCGCCGGCTGAAGTTTTGAAGAATCACCAAGCGTGTTCGCCTCGCCGCTGGACCACTGCACACTCCCGCCAGCAATGCTTGTGTGAGGATTTCAAGGCCTCTGCATCCTCGCCGTCTTTTTTTGCTACAGCCATCACACTAGGTGTGTGGTGGTATTTCGTGGTGTTAGGTTGCATTTACCTAATGACTCGTGATCAGAGCATCTTTTCATGTGCTTGTTGACTATTTTTATGTGTTTTTGTGTTGTTGTGTGGGGTTGTTGTTTTTTTTTGCAGCAAAAAGCTTTATTGTTTCATTTGGTCCAATTTATGGGCGAGGGCTTCAGGGTGGTGAGGAGGATGCCTAACAGGCTCAGGCAGAGGCTCGGGCAAAGCCAGAGCCCAGGGGGATGCAGAGGGGCCCCTAAGGCCTCTGGGCCCAAAGGCTCCTCGCTGTGCCTGAGAGTGAGCCTTTGGAGGAGATACTCTCCCAGCCCAGCCCGGCCGCAGCCTGCGGAGGGGAGCCAGGTGCGGCCCATCTTGTTGGCGAGTCCCACCTGCTCAGCCAGGCGGTAGTTCACCAGGTAGTCTCGGAGCTGAGGTCTGTGTGGGTAGAACTGGGGCCTGCAGCTCCAAAGGCCTCGTTCAGGTTCTTCTCCAAGGCCATGGCGGCTTCCTGAGTTACCCTCTCACGTGGGGAAGGCTCTGCCAGCCCTGGCGGAGGACGCGGCCACCGCACCGGTTTTGCATCTTTAAGGGCCGCTCAGTGCCCGCTGCTTCTGTGCTGACCCGGGAAGAGGCGCCCACGGCCTCCAGAGCCACATTGTTGTGGTCAAAGTAGAAGCCCAGACTGAGGTAGGTGGGGAGGTTGAAAGGGGCGGGGGAACCGCAGGTGCAGGCTGGCCAGCGGTTGACCGCAGCCTCCTCCTCGGTGGAATAATTCTGATGAATCTGGGAGCTCATGGTTGTCCGGCAATGAGTTAAGGTAGAAAAAAAGCGGTGTGTGGCGTGTTGGCTGGTCTCGGAGGTGGTTCTGAAGGCGGTGGCTAGATAAGAGGCAGGAGAGTTGCCGGAGGCTGGGTCTGTTCCGTCCAAACACTGTCAAAGCAGGAGACAGATCCGGGAGCCGAGGGCACTGCCTTTATGTGTGTGGTTTCACTTTTTTATTTTTTTAAATTTTAAATATATTTTTACAATTTTTTCATTAAGGTATTATATGTGTACATATCTTACCATTGCCCCCTTCACCCCACTCCCATACATGCCTCACCCCCCCGAGTTTTGCGTCCATTGGTTATTCTTATATGCATGCACACAAGTCCTTCAGTTGATCTCTTATTACCCCCACCTCTTCCTTACCTTCCCACTGTAATTTGACAGTCTGTTTGATGCTTTACTGTCTCTGTATCTATCTTTTTGTTCATCAGTTTACAATGTTCTTTATTATCCATCAATGAGTGAGATCATGTGGTATTTTTCTTTCACTGACTGGCTTATTTCACTTAACATAATGTTCTCCAATCCCATCCAGGTATGTGTGTGGTTTTAAATGCCTATTCAAGTATTTGCCCATTTAAGAAATTGGGTTGCCTTTTGTTGTTAGAATTATGTTGTGGATACTAGGCTGTTATCAGATATATAATTTGCAAGTATTTTCTCCTAGTTTATGGGTGATCTTTTTACTTTCTTGATGATGTTCTTTATCAAAAGTTTTAATTCTGATGAAGTCCAATTTGTTGTTGTTGCTTGTGTTTTTGGTGTCATGTTTAAGAATCCAGTGCCAAATCCAAGGTCATGGATGTTGTTTTCTTCTAAGATTTCTATAGTTTTAGGTCTTACATCTAGTTCTTGGATCTATTTTGAATTAATTTTTATATATGATGTGAGGTAGGGATACAACCTCATTCCTTTGCTTGGGATACCTAGTTGTCCCAGCACTGCTTGCTGAAGGTAATATTCTTTCCTCATTGAATGGTTCTGGGACCCTTATCAAAATCAATTGAGCAATTTAGGTTGATTTTTCAATTCTATCTCATTGTCTTTGTGCCTATCTTTATGCTAGTATCATACTATATAAATTACTGTAGATTTGCATCATGTTTTGAAATTAAGATGTATGGGTTCCCTTACTTTGTTGTTCTTTTCCAATGTCATTTTGGCTATTTGGGGACCAGTCCTTTGCAAATCCATAGGATTTTTAGGGTCAGTTTATCCATACCTGCAAAAAGGCAATGGAATTTGATAGGGATTGGGCTGAATCTGTAGATCAACTTGCAGAATACTGTCATGTCAACAATACTGTCTTCCAATCAATGAGCACAGGATGTTTTATATTTTTGTGTTTTTCAGTGTACAAGTCTTACACTAATTGGTGAAATTTATCCTGAAATATTTTTCTTTTTGATATTATTGTAAATAGGATTGTTTTCATTTCATTTTCAGATTGTTCATTGCTAATGTTTAAAAATACAACTGATTTTTGTTATGTTCATGTATCTTACTCTACAACTTTATTGAATTCCTTTATTAACTCTAAGAGTTTATGTGGATATTTTAGGATTTCATATATACACTGAGTGGCCAGATTATTATGATATTATGATCTCTGAATGCATAATCTGGCCAGTATATATATATTAGAGGCCCAATGCATGAATTCGTGCATGGGTGGGTTCTGGCCAGCCTGGCCAGGGGGAGGACATGGGCCTGCCTGCTGGTCGAACTCCTGGTCAAGGGGACAATTCGCATATTAGCCTTTTATTATATAGGATATACACCGAGTGGCCAGATTATTATGCATTCAGAGATCATAATAATCTGGCCACACAGTGTATACAATTATGTCATCTTTGCAATTTAGATACCTTTTATTTCTTTTTCTTGCCCAGTTGCCTGGCTAAAACTTCATTCTTTCATCATGAAGTATATCAGCTGTTTTTCCACAGATGCTCTTTATTTCAGTTTGATAATTTTCCCTTTTATAGTTAGTTTCTTGTTTTTTTTAATCATTAACTGTTGTTGGGTTTCCTCAAATGCTTTTTCTGCATGGAGATGATCATGTGGTTTTTATCTCAATAATGTGTATTACATCGATTGATTTTTGAATAATTTCTTTGATTTACCCCACTTGGTCATGGTAAGTAATTCTTTTAACATGCTGTTAGGTGCAGTTTGCTAGTATTTCAATGAGGATTTTTGCATTTTCTTGTGATGTCTTTGTCTGGCTTTGGTATCAGGGTAACACTGGTCTCAGGGTGAATTAAGAATTTTCTTAATATTCTCTATTTATTGGAATAGTTACTTCTATATTTTGTAATAGTTTGAGAAAGACTGATGTCACGTCTTTAAACATTTGATAGAATGCATAAGTCTATTTTTCTTTATTGGGATTTTTTTAAAGTACAGATTTAATCTCATAAGTCTATTCAAATTTTTATTTGAGTCAGATTTGAGAATTTGTATGTTCCTAAGAATCTTCTATTTCTTCTATAATAGGTTACCTAATATGTTGTCATACAATTGTTAACAGTATCTTCTTGTAATCCTTTATTTGTATGTAGTTGCTAGTAATAACCCTTTCATTTCTGACTTTAGTACTTGAATTGTCTCTCTTCTTCATCTAACTAAAGGTTTGTCAATTTCGTTGATCTTTTCATAGGGTCTTTTCATTTCATTGATTCTATTGCTTTTTCTTTTACTCTCTATTTTGTTTATCTGCACTAATATTTATTTCCTTCCTTTTGGTTGCTTTGGGTTTAGTTTGCTCTTCTTTTTCTAATTCCTTAAAATGGAAAGTTAGGTTTTTGGTTTGAGATCTTTTTCTTTTTTTAATGTAGGCCTTTACAGCTGTTTCCTTCTGAACACTGCTTCCACTGCAGCCCACGTTATTGTTTTCATTTTCATTAATCTCCAAGTATTTCCCAATTTCTCCTGTCATTTATTCTTTAACTCATTGGGTTATTTTTTAAAGAGTATGTTGTTCTGTTTCCATCTATTCATGTGGTCATAGAAGATACTCTATGGTTTTTATCTTCTAAAATTTATTTACTTTTGTGGTCTATCTGGATATTTCCTATGTGCACTTGAGAGTGTATATTCCGTTGCTGGGTGCACTGTTCTCTGTTAGGTCTAGGTAGTTGGTAGTGTTCAAGTTTCCCGTTTCCTTTTCTACCTTGTCCAATTGTTCTAATAGAGAAAGTGGGCGTTGAGGTCTCCACCTGGGATTGCTGAACTATTATTCCCCATCAGTTTCCCTTTCAAACTCACTTGGGGCTCTTCACTTTACAAATGTCAAGAGGCCCAAAGAGGGAAGTGACTTTCCCAGGATCACACAGCCAATCAGTGGCTCAGCTGAGATCAGAACAGGGATGCTGGATTCCCAGGCCAGTGCTCTTTCTACCTCAGGACTGGCTTGTTGGGAAGGAACCAGGTTCAGGGTGAACTCCAGGATTAGGCAAAGGAGAGCTTTCCAAGGAGCCAGGGCTGAGGGCGAGAGCCCCTCGCAGAGTTGGGGGCCTGATTGGATCCTTTGCTGAGAGGGGACCCTGCATGTGTCAGGTGGAAGCCTGGGTGATGACCCCCCTCTCAGAGCACAGGTGGCAGGTGTGGTGGGTGAAAATGTAAGCTGTTACCTTCCTGGGGAAGAGGTTTAGGTTGATTTCTGTTTATAGGTCTGACTCCAGTCATATCAGCCAGGGCAGGAAGAAGCTGACCGTAGAACTAGGGTCAAATCTTCGGCTAGGATTATAACTCCCCATCCAAGTAAGAGAATGGGCATCGTATGGCCCTCCAGCTGTTGCCTGGGCCAGGGGCATCTGCAGAAGTTCACCTCTCAGATC